GGCCGGTTGGGAAGCCGGAAGCCCCCCCCGGGGGGGGGGTTGGGCCCCTCTCCACCTGCCTCCACAGAGGCACCCCAGTCGCCCCTGCCAGGAACCTGCCACCCGGTGGGACCTTGGCCCCATCTGGAATGGCCACGCAGCAGGTGTGCAGTGATCCTTAAAGCACAAGGGGCTCTTAATGCCAAAGAGCCCTCAACGCAAACCCACAACCCCTCAGAAGGGTCAACAGGCACCTCCAGGAAAAAAAACCCTTCATTACTGCAATGCTAGTAGTAGAATAAGAAGAGATTGGATTCGTCCCCCCCCCTTCACTACCCGAAGGAGTCTCAGAGCGGCTCACAATCTCCTTTCCCTTCCCGTCCCCGCAACAGACAGACACCCTGTGAGGTAGGCGGGGCTGAGAGAGCTCTTTCAAGGACTGCTCAGGAGAGAAGAGCTCTGAGGGAACTTGTGACTGACCCAGGGTCACCCCAGCAGCTGCATGCGGAACAGGAGAGGGGGAATCAAACCCGGTACTCCCAGATCAGAGTCCGCGCTCCTAACCCCTACACCCAAAGGGAGGCCTTCCCGAGGGGCCACAGTGTCTGGGCAGGGAGTCAGCCACTCCCTCTAGGGCCAAGCACAGCATTCGGTGGCCCCTCCAGGCCACACTGGCCGTCCCGCCCCGTCCCGCTAACAGCCCTTTTGGGTGCCCAGAGTACTAGAGAAGAAGAGCCAGAGTCCAGGAGCACCTTCAAGTCTGACGATACTGGGGGCGGGGAAGGCGCTTTTGGGGGTCCCTGCTGACAGACCCTGGCCTCTGAAGGACTGACTGAGCCGTGACTCACAAGAGCTCCTCCCCTGCCACAAAGGTGGTCAGTCTTTATTCGGTGGCCGGGACTGTTGGCTCCTGCTCCAGACACACTTTGACACGGCGACCCGTTTTGGCACCTCGAGGCAGACCGCTTTGGGACATGGACCTTCCGGGCGGCTCTCACGGCTCCAGGCTGCTGGCAGCCACCCGGCCCAGTGACCCTGCCGCCTCCCAGGCCAGCTGGCGCCTGTCCTGCCGTACTCACCTCCTCTACGTCTGTCCCATAAGTCCGCCGGCTCGTCTGGGTCAAGACAGAGAAGGACACCTCCGGCAGGGGCCTGCAAGAGAGAGAGCGCACAAGTTTCCCCGAGTCAAATGGAGGGGCCACCAGAGCCCGCCCCCCTCTCACTGGAGCCAGGACATCCCCCCCCCCGGATTCCGGCTGGCGCGCCAAGGGACTCCGGCCCTTCCCAGCCACGGAGGGGGTCGCCCTCCAAGGGCAGTTCGGAGTGGCTCTCAAGGCACACAAGAGGGAGGGAGGGAGGGAGGACGGGTTTGGGCCACCACGGCAGAGCCGAGCCTCTTCTCAGTTCTTGCGGCATGAAGCAGCTCTGCGCTCTCCCAGAAAATGGCCCGGCACCCCCCCATGAAAGGCAGGCCAGGGCTGCTGCCTCTCCCCGCAAGCGCACGTGGCAAGGCCACAGAGCCACAAGGACCACAGCCCAGGCATCCCTCCGCCTGGCAAACCCTACCCTAGAGAGGCCGCATTTTGCCTCCACTCAGCCTCAGCCTCTGCACAGCCCCTGACGATCCAGCCTTCCGTACCCTGGACAGGACAAGGAAGCAGGACGGGGGGGGGGGCAGGACGGGGGAAAGCCCTCCCCTCCTCTGCTGAAGGCTGCCCCCCCCCAGTCCTCCCTTTTGGGCTAGGCAGCCCACTGGACACGCCCCCCCCCCAAGCCTTTACGCTCAATCCCAGGAACCTCCAGCTCCTTTCTGGTAAGCCAGGAGAGCAGCTGGTTACTGAGGTATAGCTCGACTCACTGCCCAAAGGGAAACCGGAACCCTCAGAGCACCTGGGCCGCTCGCCTGCAGAACAGGCCCCATTTCCCAGGGGGGGG